GGAGGATGGAAAACGGCAAGCTCGTGCCCTTGTGTCCTGCCCCACCCTTCCCCCAGGACTGTGCTTTAGCGATGGTAGCTAAACTCCAGCAAAACTTCAGCAGAGGTTATTTATATTGGCTTAGCTTCAACCTCTTGCTGGGGAAAAACGTTTTGCCATTCCCTTCAGCAGAAGGAACTCCGCCACCACCAGCAGTTTGAAAGGACAACAGGACCTAGTCACCGAGACATTTAGATAAGCTGGAGGCAAGCCTGTCACAAGCACGCACCCTCTTCAAATGTCACATCAAACAGCAAGGAAAAGGGCAGGAAAAGGCTACCTTTTGATGGGAGGTTTCGCTCATGTCTAGAAGCTGGATAATCCGGGGCTGCCTCATCTCGCGAGTGCTGGCCAGCCTCTGCTCGGTGGTAAGAGACATCTCCTTCAGGAAGGCAGATGGAGTCAGCTGAAATGCAAAACGCCAGCAAGAGGTACAGAAATGCTTTTGTTCAGAAAGGCTTTTCTCGTTCAAGTGCCACTGATGAATAATTTGTGATCACAGCCACTAGGATAGTCCTGGAAGTCCCTTAAGTTACCTGCTGAAATATTTAACATCAGTAAATTAATGATATAGAGCGGAATACACATGCTCTAACCAAGTGGCTCTGTCCCATTAGCTTCTCCTTCATGAATCTGATGTGACATGTTTGGGGATTTCTGCTCTTCGGGCATTTGTTTCCTCTTTAGTTTTGCTGGATTGAGCCATTACCTTTGAAGAGAGCGGGGAGGAGTTATCAGAAATCCCCTAATTCCATCCCTGCACAATGCCCACAACCAACACGCATGTGGAGATGTCACTGCCGGGTGAATCAGAGGAAAGCAGAAAAGCAACGTTGTGCCAAGACTGAGGTGGAGAGGAATGGGGCCAAGTTTTAGTTATCTCTTTTTAATTAGCACTTGTTTTCTCTCTGTTCTGGCCTCACAGACCCCTCCACAGAAGTATAGAGATATCTCCTTGACAGAGCCTCAGCACTAGGTCATCTCCAGTTAAGCAAGCTCCAGCCAGCACAGGGGACATTTGTGGATGGGAAGGAGGAATTGCCATAACCCCACTGCTGTTTGCAGGGCTGGATCTGTGCTCCACACAGGGTATGAGATATAACAACTGTTTTGGAACCTGTTCTATGGGACCAGCCATGTCTCTCAAGTCTTCGGGCAGAGTTTGAGCAGCTCACCACATGCCCAGCTGCCTGGAGGGCAGGTACGGTCAGAGCAGCACTGGCACGTATGCCTACATGACAGAAGATATTACTGCCCACACAAAGAGGATGGAAAGAATCACATGCTCATGCTTCAGCTATTCCAGTGCCATGCCCAGTACATTCGTTTAACTTGGCTCTAGTGGCACATCGAGGCAAGACTCTGGACTTTCCCTGAAGCAGCACAGACTCCGTCCCCCACTGCACCATGGTAGCCACCTCCAACAGAAGCATGGCAGCAAAGAGATGGGGAGGTGGTGTCTAGCTTCACAGTGCCGCTAGACAACAGGAGGGGAAGGCAGAGGAGGGACACGGGGAGTCTCCAGCCTTAACACAGGTCCTACCTGGCCACAGCAGGTACTTACAGTTACAGATTCCTCTGCCTCTCTGATTAGCTTCGGATTACAAGCTGCTACCGCTTTGCTCTGGAATCCATCAGCCATTTTGGAGGACCCCATGGACTCATGGATCTTGCCAGCGGCCATGTCTCAGCTCACCTGGAAGGAGCAACAATGGGACTTTGAAAATCCAGAATCCCATTCATGGCAGACCCAAAGGATACACCTGCGGCCCCAGGCTGTGTTATCCTTCGAAAGTGGAGAACGTAACGCCTCCCCACCCTGTTTCATGGTTAGACCATATTTAAGTGACAGAGTTAAGATTCATAGAAGCAAAACCCCAGAACAAACATTCCCCGAGCCAAACCAACCTTCTGCTGTGGGTGCAGTCCCACGAGCCACAAACACACACCAGGGCCTGCTGGCATTTCTCACCTTCCCCCCGCTTCCATTATTTTTGGAACCCCATTTACTGGAATTATTAACCAAATCTCTGTTAATATCCAAACAGTCCTTTAAAAGTTTTTTGGTGGGAACAGAAGGAAGGTAAATGTCACTTAGCTGCTTCACTTTGCAAGAGCAGCTGACCCGATGTGACTGTGTGCTTGACCCTATTAAGTGCTCAAAGTGTTATGAACAACCTTAAACCCAGGGATCGCTGCCGCCCCAAGCGTTAAGAAAATCAGACCACTTTCCTACTTTGCAAACCAAATGTCCACCCTTCGTGCAAGGAGCCTGGTGATGTTTCTAACTCATGGAGCATAGAGTTCAATGCTTTGATTAAGAACTATAGTTTCTCAAAGCTAATTTCGTTGAAGTCACAAAAAATATCCAGCAAATATGACTCCTTCCAGACATGAAATTATCACAGTGCTCAAGAGCACTTCTCCATGGAGAATGAGGGCCCTAATTTTCACTTATTAACACCCAAACTCAAGGCTCCCTACAGGCATTAGAGGGTGTAACAGCAGAAAAAAGCATGAAACCATTAAAGGACCATGAGCTCAAATATAAATGCAACGTATGTGAAACCAAGGCCACTTAAGACTTTATCCTAACGGCAGTTCTTCTCCAGCATCCTTATCCTACAAGTAGCATGGGTTAACAGGTCCACGGGCCATTCTTCTTCCAGTCACCAGCCTGCCGACCACCTCTCTTCATCTGCATCACACAAAGCGGGCGTGCAAGAAAGGGCAAGAAGAGAAGCCAACCCCAGAAAGTGGGTCTCAAGCACCGACAAAAATCAAAGATAAACATGTACCGTATTTGCTAAGCACTAATTTGAACTAGAAAGAATTTCCCCTCCCTTTCTGGCTAACTGGACCAAGGAACAGATGGGTTTGCCCACTACTTATTTTCTGGGACTCAAAAGACCAGTGCTCTCAAACCTAGCTCTACCCTAAACTTTTTTTCATCCTGACATTAAGTAAAACCACAGCTCATATTCCGTCCTGCTTCCTTCTGTTCCACATCATCTTTTTTGTGTGGACTCGCTGTATCCAGCAAGACACCATCTATACAAAGATGACCATCCCCTTCCCCTCAAGCTTTACCCACATCCTGCAAGCAAGGCAATAACTTCATCCCTTTACTCCCCAAACAGCTACAGTATTGTACGTGTTCGTGGTACTGGGCCCTTTACAGTGTTAGGACAAGGTTGCCGTTTCCTTTTGTTCTTGCAAGAAACACATGAGCACAGCGCTGTCCTACGGACAGGAGGACACGCTGCAGCAAGAGCTAGGACTTAAAGCTGGAAATAGCTATTCTTCAAGAGAAATCTAACGGGGACGAAACAACATTAATCTGGATTTCAATGTTTTATTGTTGAGTCTTGAGAATAACTGGATTATTTGTTCCAATTTTCCACCTGTAATTTCACTTCACTTGAAACTAATCCTGTTCATCACGCCCACAACACTTATTTCTAGGGGGCTTCCAACCTCCACCCCCCCATCCCACTCTTACAGCTTCCCCCACCCTCCAGCCCCGCAGTGCGGCACCTTCACCGCCCCACGGCCCCACTTCCCCAGAGCCTGCAGGGATCAGCCTCCCAGATTAGGCGGAAAGGATCAGAACTAAGAAGTCAGCCACATCCTCCTGCAGAGGCAGGACAAAACAGCAACCACAACACAGCACCCTTCCAGCCCACTGTCTGGTGGAGGGAGATGTCTATCTTCCCCACCTCAGACAGCCCTCTCCCCACCCCAGAAGCATAAGGAAGGATTGCAATTCCCCCTCTGCTCCAGGCTCAAGGCACGGACAGCTCTGGCATCTCAGCTTTACGTTCAGAGCACGAATGCCCTGAACCAGGGCAGAGGAACCAGCTGTGCCAGGACACAACAGCTAAGACAACCTAGACAAGCAATGAAGAAATATACCCAGGGCTGGGGTCGAAACTCCTGACTTGTCTCAGGAAACCAAGATGTATCAGAGCAGGGTGCCAAGCTGAAGATCATCAAGGACATCCAAGCTTCAGCCTCCTCCCCAAGGCTCCCTTTACTCCAGTATCTACAGCTAAGCTAGAAGTCTTCACCATCACTGCAAGTTGCACAGCAATTTTAGAACCCACTGAAAACCCTTCTACCTCCCCAGACTTGCTCTTAAACCAGGTATATAGTTAAATCCTGCTGAGTATCACATAGCTGCTGCATCTCTGCTGTCGGCCCTCCTGCCAAAGATACTGTCTCCTTCCTGCCCTGTGGCCAGACACTACCTTAGGACAGATCATTCATGCTTCTCTGGGAGGATTTGCTTTGTGTAGTGCCCAGTCTTGCTTTCTGAATCACTGTGGGCTATTTGGTGGCTGTGGACAGCCTGGAGGGACAGGAGCCGGCCAGGGAACCGTTGGTGTGACCATGCTCCCACCAGCGCAGCAATAACTGTCACTGGGCTGGTGGCTTCTGAGAGCCCAGTGGAACCTGGAGGGCAACTGACAGTACTTGGAAATTGGGCTGCCCAGCATCTCCTCTCCTCAACTGTCACAGCCTTGCCAGGCAGAGCAGGAGGATTTTACCAGGACCTCAAGGAAGGAGAGTTCAGAGCTTGACATTAGCTAAAGTCTGCTCCTTCCTCTGCTGCTGAGCTCCTCCTGCTCTAAGGTGGGGAGATACTGTGCAGGCTCCGGGTGCTATGCAGAGAAGCTTCTCGGAACAGCAGCATGTCATCCTGTAAGTAGTAAGGAAAAGGTCCACTAACCCAGTAAAGAGCGGGGGTTTACCACCTTAACCAGTTCCACACCAAGGGAACAGATGCGTGTTCAAGCATTTGTGGCTTTGGGATTTCTTCAGCTCTAGGCTGGAGTGGAAACTATGCTTTCTGCCTTGAACCTCCTCAGTATCATAATTGGTCAACTTGGTCTCTACTCGGGTGGTTTTACAATGCCACTGAAATGCTTTGATAAAGTTACAGCCTTGAAAATCACTGCAGCCATATATTTCTTAAACACCTCACTCCACAATGAATGATTGCAGCAGTATTAGAAAGTATGCCTTAGAGTAGCATTTGTTAATGTTCCACAAGCTTCAGATAAATTTATTTAGACACTGCAGACAAGGTAATCATTTCTTTGTTTAAGGAGTAAAGAAGAAGTTTCCACACTGACTTCCAAAGCAAGAATTTAATTTCTATTTTGCTCGCCCAGGGAGGACCCCAGTCACATCAATGCAGGCGAATCACCATGTTGCCGCAGCTCCGACAATGCCTCTGTTGTTGCACCTGGTGAATACCCATTTGATGAGCTTGTTCCAATTAACCACGCACACATATACGCACACACCAGCCAAGGACACCCAACTTACAAGAGCATCTCAGCTGCCCGGGAGCTTCACGCATTTTCAGCACAACATATGCTATAAACAAAAGCTTCTCCT